AGGAGGTCGTGCGTGAGTGAGTAGGCAGTCAGAATGGTGGTTTGGAGCGCTGGTGAATTTATTGCCTGAGTGGTTGTTAATGTGGTTAGAGATGTACGGGTAGTAAAGAGTGTAGATAGGAGCTGAGCGCATCTTGCTGATGTGCACGGCATGTAGATTTGGATGTTTTCCAATAAATTGTTCGCATAGTTTTCATTGGGCATGGATATCCTGATGGATTGTGCAGCTGAGTGACATGTATGGCTAGCTACATTTTTGTAAGCATGGCTATCGCCAAAAGGTCGATCTGGAGATCCGATAGCCAGGATAGTGCACGTAATCTGGCATGCGTTAAAATTATAGTATGTTTTGCAAGGGCGCATTGCGGCAGTAGTCGATGTGCGCATCTGCGGCCGCATCGAAAACGGTCGATATGGAAGTAAGAGAAAGGCTTGCGGCGGGCCAACGGCGGTCATTGGGTTCGATGCTGTAAGGAGATGGTGCGAAACGCATTTGATTGGATAGAGAGAATTGTAGGTAATGGTAGGAAGTTAGATAAGTGAAGGGTGGTTAATTAGGGTTGGTATGTTTGGATAATATGTGTTCTGGGTTACGGAAAGGTGAAACAAAAAGAAACAAAAAGCATGGGCTAACTATTTCATAACGGACGTCTGCAAAACAAGATTCAGGAGAACAGAGAGTATAGAAGAACAGAATAAGCAAAGAGCTATGGGGCGCACCTTTATGAAGGAGGGCATCCAAGTTTCGGGCGAGCATCCAGCTCTATGGGCAACCCGCAATTCTTTGTGCTTAACTTGTTTTTAGTCCACACTCGTGCCTTGTTTATATGCACGTGAGGGATTGATCCCAATCAAAATGTATTGGCCATGCATGAACGTCCTAGAGAGAAGCGCTACTACATTAGTTTAATCATTTAGTGCAGATACGCCCAATACTTCCGCTGTGCTATCCTGGCGTACTGAGATCTAGACGCGAGCCAGGCCCAAGGGAAGAATGCGAGATCGAGTAATATCAAGATCAAGTGCTTTGTGGCTCTATAAGCGCTAGTATTTTATCATAGACATTCACTCTTAGCATTAATATTCTGCAGCGCGCATCTCGTGATTTCTTAATGAACTGAAAGTGAAGTAGTTTATGTAGCTATATAATGACGGTTCCGCCACTCAAAAAAGCGATTGCTGTGTGATTTTGAGCACGTCAAAATTCTTTGTTGGTGCCATTTTTTTTTATTTTCACATATTTTTATTTAGTGAGTCTCGAGCATTCCAGAATTTGATTAACGCCTGTATCTGGGATATGGAACTGGACTTAATTCACCCCTTGCTCGGAGCATCCGCAATGCTATGAATGATGCTCGCACCTTCTGCATTTCAGAAGAGAAAGATATTCCAGAAGTCTAATTGATTATTTAGAGGTTTGTCTTGTATAAAATTCTACATTCACTTCTTACATCGCAACATTCTATCTGGCCATTTATAAACTGAAAACGTGTATATTTGTCTATGTCATAGAGTTATATGTTATAAGCAACTCAATATAAGTATCTAACATGATATAGCACTGAACGCAATCAACATCTAATGTTGTCGGATTACAGGCTTTTGGTTTAAACAGCTTCAAGTTACTGACATCATGGGAGTATAGAGTTACGCTCACACGTTTAAAGTGTTAAGTTAAATAAGACTGAAAACAGTGCGGTGGATATACTTGTAATGTGGCTCGTTTCGTCCTGGTTTTCTGCAAGGTTCTCTTTAGAAGTATGACAGGGCGCATAACACACAGTGGTTTCTTTATGGCGGTGTGGGCGTTGCAACCGCAAGAGCTAAGATGAGAACCAAGCCAGACCGAGGGCAGATTTAGGTACTAGTAAGGCGCAGCTTGCCCTAAAGATTCGTCGTCATCCAGAATTGTTATGAGCCTGTCATGACTAATCAAATTAGTTCTTGCTTATTCTCTTGTTCGAGCAAGCACACTCTCCACAGTAGAGCAAGGTGTATTGCCACTCCGAGGTCAAACAAAGGCCTGTGAGGCCCGCAGGGCCTACAGCTCCTAAAAAGCCTGCAGGCCGCCAGAAAGTGTAGGCCCGCTTAATCGTTTGGAGGCAAATTACAAGTAAGTAAAACTAGCATATCATGTATCGATTTGACGCTATGTGTTACTATGTACTCATTAATCACAGCTGTCTACTAATCATACATACCCAGTATGGATTCTCCTTGCCCTCTCGTTCGGATAACTGGTTTACTTTGCTTCTTTGCAGGAGGGCGTCACAATTACGGGAAACGCCCTTGTCCGGTCTAGTATGTACTGCTTATTGCGTATGCCCAGTCACACAATACAAGACGCAATCTAGAGCCATTTCAAGGGTACTCCAATAGCTTACAACTAGCAACATTTTTGGTGGAAAGGGACAAAATTAAGTAAAATTTACCTACGTTGTATAATCTTGCATTGAGTCAGGGGCGCGCGCTGCCAGTGGCGAATGTCGTGCTGTGTTGATGTGTGCTCCATAAGTAAATGTATTTTGTAGACATACAAAAGTCTACGTAGGAAAGCTTATTATTTAGCCAGTAAACGTCTGTATATTCGCAATGTATATAGAGAATAGTTGTTTCCTAAACGCTCTAAGAATACAATATGACAAGCCGGTTAAGACGGGCCGAGTGGTGCGACGCACGGCTTGTACTGCTGTTGCATGACTACAGCAAGTAATACGAAGTGCTTTGCAGCTACAGTGACTTATGACATGTGTGTTAAAACTTGAGACAATTATTTTACTCTCTACTGTATAATTTCAAACATGATATACTTTACCTAAATCTTCTTATATTAATTTAAAACAGTAATACTGATCGTTGTTCGGTTGTTTATAACTAGCGAGTGCAGACTTTTAATGTTTGACTCATCAAGACCCAATATTCGTGTTGATGAATTGCGC